CTCTCTCTCTCTCTCTCTCTCTCTCTCTCTCTCTCTCTCTCTCTCTCCCCTCGGCTTTCTGGCCACAGGCTCCTGTCTCCATGATGTTTCTGTTTTTTCTCCTGCCCAAAGAAATGGATCCAGCCAAGCGTGGATGGACCTCTGAAGCCATGAGCCAGAGCAAACCCTTTCCCTTTGAAGGTGTTCCTTTTGGGTGCTTTGCCACAGGGATGAGAGTGACTGATTATCATGGGAGCAGCGGGTGTTTTCTTTGAGGATTCTGTGGGTTGTGGGTCTCAGTTTCAACTCCTCAGCTTTGCCATGTGGCACTGAAGGACTTTAGTAGTGACTTACGCATTGATATGAGAAAATGCCTAATGGAAGCGACTGAGGAAAGGCTAGGCTGATTCTGGCTCCCAGGTCAAGGGTACAGCCCGTCATGGTGGGAGAGGTGTTTTGGCAGGAGCGTGAGGCAGCTGGTCACATGGCATCTGCACTCCGGAAGCAGAGAGAGGTGAATGCTGGGGCTCAGCTCTCTCTCTCCTTTATTCAGCCTGGGTCCCCAGTGCATTGAATGATGCCACCCATATTTAGTGGATCCATCTCAGTTAACACAATCTGGAAAGTTCCTCACAGAAATGCCCAGGTATTTGTTTCTTTCATAATTCTAGGTCCTATCAAGTTTACAACCAAGGCTAACCATCATAGGAAGCCTAGAAAATGTGTAAATGAAGAGGTGTGTTGGTTACAACAAAACTTTTATTTACACACAGGTGGTGGGCCAGGTTTGTGCATAGCCCGCTGCTGCTGGCTGACCTGTGGCCTGTTGTTGGACTGGTTAATCTGGGTCCCTGACGGCTTGGGGTTTAGCTGGAGAGAGTGGGGACTGAGAGTGTGTCGGAGGGATACTTACCTCGTTAAGCAGCTTCATGAGTAGCCTACATATTACCTGCTGATGCCCCACTTGTAAAGGCCTAGTCAAGGGCAGGGCGTGGTGCAAAGAAGGCTGGGAAATTTAGCCTCTGGCTTCAAATATTCTATGTTTGTAGAAAAAAGGCCAATGATATTTTGGAAAAATAGTCATTTCTACCATTTCAAAGTGAAATACTTCCAAGAGCAATGAAGGCAGCAATACCTTCAAGGCTTGGATTTACACACAGCCATAATACATTCGCAGAAGTGGCCCTGGCAGTGTCCTGTTAAGAAAATGGCTGAGTTGGGAAAGTGCTTTCCAGGAGAGCAGGAGGACCCGAATTACATTCTCTGCACCCAGGTAAGAAAAGCTGGGCGTGGTAGCAGGAGCTTGTAACCCTGGTGCTGAGGAAGCAGAGGCAGGTGGATCCCCGCACCTTGCTGCCAGCCAGCCTAGTCTGCTCGGTGAGTTCCAGATTCAGTGCAAGTCCCTGCCTGAAAACATAAGGTAGAGAATGACCAAGGAACTACACTTCAGGTTGACCCCTGGTCTCCACATGCCTACATATGCATAAACACATATGCCTATGCACTCATGTGCAGTGCATGCCTACATACATGGACACATGTACCTATGCACTCATGTGCATTGCATGCCTACATACATGGACACATGTACCTATGCACTCATGTGCAT